CCCCAAAACCCCAAAACCCCAAAACCCCAAAACCCCACTTTTCAATTATTTAATTGAAATTTAAAACCAAGATTATTATTTTAATTTAAGATATGGATTTCTTCAGGTCTGCCACAATGGATCTCTACGAGGTTTCTATACCTAAGGATAACGCATGGGAGGCCATGGACTTGTTCGGAAAGCTCAACTCCCTCCATTTTGTCAATCTTAACAAGAACGAACAGGTTTTCAACCTCACCTATGCTAGCAGGGTCAAAAGATGTGATGAAGCGATGAGGAAATTATCGACTATTCTTGAATCAGAGGCTAATAGGATTAAGCTCCCAATGTATATTCCTAGTAACCTTGATAACTTCCGAGCAGCTGTGAAGATACAGTCAAGGCTGAGAAATAGATCCTCGCAGGCTATTTTTGAGATCATAGAGGAAGATATTCAAAAATATTCAAAGTTCATTCTTGACCAGAAGGAGAATGAAGAAGGAATGCACAACCAGTGTCTCAAACTTATTGGTAAGGAAATAGAACTTAGATTTTAGAGAAGAGAGCAGTCATGGCTGTAGCATCCACTATCCTCAAGAAGGAAATCAACAACAAAAAAGAAGAGAGTGAGATCTTGATGAGAGAAGGAGATAATGAGATTGAAGCTAGAGAAGAGCTACTTGGCGAAGCCAGACTTAATATTTCTCACATTGCAGGTACTATTAACCAATCTGAGAAAGAAAGACTTCAGAGGATGATTTTCAGGGCAACTAGAGGCACTGCTCTTTCTTATTTCCAGGATATCGCCCAACCTTTCATTTCCTACAAAGGAGATAAGACATATAAGACTGTCTTTATCATCATTTATCAAGATGGGGAGTACTATACAGAAAAGTTAAGAAGGATTCTCAGCTCTTTCATGACGAATATTTTCGAAATAGGTACAGTTTCTCCCGCTCAAATATAGATTCGATCGACATTAACCAAGAAGCTCAGGAAGCATCCAAGCGTATCAAGGAATTCAGGGACATCATGAAGAAATGCTATGGAGAAATAAAGGAGTATCTAAAGGCAGTGAATACTCTTGAAGGTACTCAGATATCCAAAATCCAGCTCTATAAGCTATATCTTGCAAAAGAAAAATATCTTTATGAGAATTTGAATAAAATGAAAATTGGTCGAAATCTTTTCATCGGCTTATTCTGGTTACCTGCTTCCGAAGTGCCTTCTTTGAAAGAAGAAATTATCAAGTTTACTGAAGAAGGGAAGTCAAAAGCTCCTCAGATCTTTTTGAGGAAGAACCATGACCAGACTCCGCCTACTTTTATCAGGACGAATGACTTTACAGCTCCCTTCCAGGAGATCACAGATACTTATGGAGTGCCGAATTACAAAGAAGTGAATCCAAGTTATTTTGGAATTGTGACCTTCCCATTTCTGTTTGGAGTGATGTTCGGTGATGTCGGCCACGGAGCTCTCCTGTTCCTCTTAGGAGCCTTCCTTTGTATTCAAGTTGGGTTTTTGAAGAAGTCAGCTCTCAGCTCAATGATACCTTATAGATATTTGATTCTGCTTATGGGAATCTTTGCCACTTTTTGTGGAGCCTGTTATAATGATATGATGTCGATCCCGATTGAAATGTCTAAAAGTTGTATTAATCTCGATGAAGATGGAGATGATATTTTTGAAGAAGACTGTGTCTATCCATTTGGAGTAGATCATACCTGGTACTTAGCCTCAAACAATCTGGCATTCTTGAATTCTTTGAAAATGAAGATAGCTGTCATATTTGGTGTTTCTCAGATGTCTCTTGGTATCCTAATGAAAGCAATGAATGCTATCCATTTCAGACAAAGTTTGGATTTCTTCTATGAATTTGTTCCTCAAATTATCCTTCTTCTGTCTCTATTCGGATTCATGGACTTTCTCATCATTATGAAATGGCTGACTCCTTGGGAAGATAAAACCAATAGAGCTCCAGGAATCATCGGACTAATGATTAATATGTTCTTGAACTTTGGTCAAGTTAACACAGAGACAACTGATCCTCTCATTGGGGATGCTGGAACTCAACAAGCTGTTTGAATCATACTTCTCATAGTAGCTTTGTTCTGCGTCCCAACCATGTTGGTAGTGAAACCCCTTTTCTTGAGACATGAACTAAAGCATATGCATGATAAATCTTCTTCCTCATCAAGTAGTGATAGAGAGCTCAAGGAATATCAATCTTCTGAGCATGAAGGAGGAGAAGAAGAAGAGAAATTACAGCAGAAGCCTATAATGAATGCTGCTGAAGTCACCCAATTTTTAGATCAAAATAAGACAGAAGAAAATCATAACTTCTCTGAAATCTGTATTCATCAGCTGATAGAAACAATTGAATTTGTTTTAGGAACTGTGTCGAATACAGCTTCATATCTCAGATTATGGGCTTTATCACTTGCCCATGGACAACTAGCACATGTATTCTTCGATAAGCTATTAGAGTCATTTGCTCTAAGTGGATCTGGAAATGCTGCTTTGCTATTTCTACTCTTTCCAGTGTTCTTTTCATTCACATTCTTCGTACTCATGTGTATGGATTCAATGGAATGCTTCCTTCACACCCTCAGACTTCATTGGGTAGAGTTTCAGAACAAGTTCTTCAAAGGAAATGGTTACAAATTTGTGCCGTTCTCATTCTCAAGTATTATTGAAGCAGAGATTCTGAAAGGACTCGCTCCAAAGTAAGCCTCAAAAATTACCATCATAGTATTTTTATCACAAATGAGGATGTAGACAGTGATTATCATAAAAGTGAGATTGAGCTTCCTCCTCTTCCTGAAAGAAAAAGTGAAGAAAGCGTAAAGAGTGATAAGCAAGATAACTCCGAGATAGGTACGTGAGTAAAATGAGATTTTTAGAAGAAGAAAAGCAACCTCAAGAGGAAGAGAAGGAGGTCACTAAAGATCCAAAACAACTGCTATATCAAGATGTGAAGAACTTTGCTAAAGATATTAGCATAAACAAAAGTAAGATTTCTTATGAATAAAACTAATTACACATTTAGACAACTTAGGAGACGCTAGAGAAAGGCTGACAATTCTTATGTCGGCTCTAAAGACCAACAGCGAGTTGCTTGCAGGAGTACATATTGAAGACTCTGATCCTCCTTCCATCCTGAACCCAAGCTATGATTATCTCGCTTCATTTGATGATTATTCAAATACCCAAAAGGAATTAAACTCTGATATCTCTAACATAGAGGTTTTCATAACCAAAATTTCTAATCTGCAAAAGGAAAAAGAACTCTTGCAAGATTATTCTGAAGAAGAACTACAAGACATGATTGGGAAGGTTGAGACCACAACAGAGGATATTTCAGAAATCAACAAGAAGCTTGAACAGATGAGCATTGAACAGGGAGCCAAAATCTCAAACCTTGAAGCATTCCTTGATGAAGCTAGAACAGAACAGTTTGCGAGGTGTGACTTTACGGAGAATATCGAGGTTAACACAGAAATTGAGTCCAAGGACAAATTCTGTCAAAATTTACTTACAAAGATCCAGAATATTGTGGATAACCATCCTGAAGAAATGTCTGATACTAGAGGAGATGTACTAAACGACATTATTGCCAAGATTCCTGGCTGGGAAGAAAGATACCAGACTAATATTGAATCCAGAACTTCTTTGTTAGAGGCAATTAATAATCTAAAATCCAAGGTCTCAGAGCATCAGGATAAAACCTTAAATATGAACATTATTAGAGAAATAATCAGTCACAAAGAGGAAAATCTGGATGAAAACAATCAGGCTTTAGATGACATAGAGAAGCTCATCAATGAAATTAAAATTCTTGAGCTCGAATTCACAGAATGTGAGGAGAAAGACCAAGTAAGAAAGGCTATCCTTGATGATCTCCTACCGAAGGTCAGCAATCTTGCTGACAATTATGGTGCATACCCTGATTGCTATGAAACACGTATGCATGATCTTGAAAAACTTCGTGAGACTCTGGAAATGATGACTGATCATGAAGACTACCCAGAAGATCAAGAGTCTATTGTTGATCTCAAGAATAGAGTTTCTGAGTCTATTGCCAAAATTGAAGAAATAAATGACAACATAGAATCCTCCAAAGAACTTATTGAGGATATTTTGAACGAAGAAGAGTATTCTCTTTCCAATGAAATCCCCTTCTTAGAATCAAAGCTTCATAATGTAAACAAAGTGCTGAAAAAGCTGACTTCTGGGCTTGAGGTCCTAGACCAAATTGAAGCCACAACTACTAGCTATAGAGAGGAGCTAGATGATGCCCATATTGATAGAAATAACAAGACCAAAAATGCAGACTTCTGAACATTCAGAGATGAATTAGCTTCTCTTAAAGGAAAATACGAAATGGTTTTCACAAGAGTTGAGCAAGAGAAGGAAGATCCAAGGCTCAATGATAATCATAGAGAGATAATTTCTGAAGTAGAGACTATCCTTCAAGATACCAATGATAAAATTTCAGAGCTAAGCATTAAACAGGAAGAGGATGAAAAGCTACTAGGTGAAATTATTGAGATTGTTGATAACACCGAACTCAAAACTACAGACTATGATGTCCTGAAGAATCTGATCTCACTCATAGAGCAAGTTAAGGTTTCTGAAGTTGATGCGCTTGGTCCAGTAAATAAGCTTTCTGCAGACCTAGACAATGCAATTTTGTCATTGGATAAGATTGACTATGCACAAGAGAATGATCCAAAATATGCACTGCTTGATCAGCTGACTCTTTCTACAGATGAACTTCTAAAAAGTATCAGGTTCATGAAATCAGTGTTTGACTCAACAGAAGGATACACTTCGAGTCAGGAAGAAGACTCTCAATACGACAGGATATCAGCCGATCTAGGAGAGCTTATTGTCAGACTCATCGAAATCAACGAGAAGGTAGATGACTTTAAGAGCAGCGGAGATGTTGAAAATATTAACGAATTCTTGGGCGAGCAGGACTTAGAACTTCAACAAATCCAAGAGGCTCTCTTCAACCACAGCTTGGTTCTCCAGAGCATCCCTTGGGGAGAGAAACTTGGCAGAAGAATTGAAGAACTCAAGGAAGAACAAGGCGATGTAGAGGTTATGGTCGAAGAAGGAAGAAAAATTCAAAAGAAACTTGAGAAAATGAAGGACAAAGCTAGTAAAAATGAAGAAGCTAATGAAGAGATTCTTGAGAAAATCGAGTACCATCTAGAGCTTGTCACTACAAATCTCCAGGAACTCGAAGATAAAAAGGAAGATATGGACTCTATAGAGGAGGATATTAAGGAATTCGATGAGATCTTGAGCAACAGGAATAATAATGACTTCAAAGAGATCACCAATCTACTCAAGAAGAACAAAGAAATTAAAGAGAAAATAGAGCATATCGATGCAACTATGGATAATTTAGATGCTGAGATAGACAATGTTGCTCCTTTCATCGCTGAGAATAAGAAACTGATCAAGAAGAAGTATAAGGTTAAGAAGGGAGATGAGCTCGATGAAGCAATTGCTAGCTTCGTCAATAACTCAGATATTGATGTACCCATCAAGAGAACAGATGATGGCAAATACATGATTGGAGACAAGAAAATTTCAGCAACCCTTCGTAATGGCAAACTTCTGATAAGAGTTGGAGGAGGATACCAGACACTCCAAGAGTACATGGAAACTATTGGAGAGGCCAAACTGAGAAGACATGCTAGAAAGGCTAAAAGAGAGAAGAGAAAGAACAGAAAATCCGAGAGGAAGCCTCGTGTTCTTAACAAAACAGGAGGTACAGATGTTGTTGGAAGTGCCGACTTAATGAAATCTTGGGAATAATGCCTTCAACACTGATGTTTAATACTGGGGTTTTGGGGTTTTGGGGTTTTGGGGTTTTGGGG